TGATTCTATGATTCTATGATTCAGAGCAACAGGTCTTGCAATATTGTAGTAATGTCTGGCAGATAAACTGACATCAGCCTAAATTCAGCTGTCAGATACATACACAAAGAGACAGTAATAAGCAGATATCCTAATATTTCATTTCTTCCTGAGAGGGTAATTTTATTCAGAAGTGACCATATTGGATGCTTGACATTGTTAACTTAAGCACATTTTGCATATAACTTCTTACAGGCTCAGCAATTCAATGTGTTAATAGCCAAATTGACCAAGGTGCAATCTAAAAAAGAACTTGTCGCTTTTATTTTCACCATCTGAGGAGAGGTACTAATGCCAGACTACATATAAAAAGATTATTTTTTACTGGAGTACTCTTGTAATTTAAAGCATGTAATTTTTTTTCAAGGCATTAAAATTTTTCGAAGGCATTAAAATAAAAAAATTACATGAGGTTGCAGAAAGAACTTCTGGTTTGAAGAGTTATAGTAGGAGAAATTTCTTAATAAGCAGGCAATTGTCTTCAGAATAGAGCTGAGGGAGTCAGAAAGCCTCCTCTTTTCTTATTCTACATTTTTGCACAAATTTGGTTAAACACAAATTAAGTGGCAAAGAAAAATAAAAGAGGTTCCAGTGAAAGTTAATACCTAATGGGAAATAAAGAGTTTGCACTAGTTCCAAAGGCATGTCTCAAACTTTATTTCTTCAGGGAAAACTCCAGCTAAAATTGACAAGGAAAGTGTTTCCCCAGTTTTATTATTTCATATTTCTAAGCAGCTTTAATATTTGAGTATATTATATTAAGTATAATTACAAAAAGCCTATTCTTTAAAAAAAAAAAAATTAATCTTAGAGCGGCAATGAGAGGAAACAAAACCAAACCCAATGGCAATGCTTTTCATGTGTTGCTCCTTCTGTCTGCAGGATGTTCAGGATACTGTGAAACTACCATGGTTATGACTGATGGGATAAAATGCTTCAGGAAGCAATGACTTCTCTAAAACAGCAACCCTTCCAGACCCACATAGCAGCTGAGCTCTGGAGATCCAGGGCTGACAACCTGCCCCATTGCTGTCAGGTAGCAGCACTGTGCTTGGAGTGTGTATTACTGGCAGCCAGTCAGGAGGGGGACATGCAGTGTCACTGTGCAGGGCAGAAGTTAGATCTTGGGCAGCGATATGGAAAATGTTAATTTATCCAGTCTTTCCAAAAGACTCATGTATTTGGCTGTCTCCATAGATATTATTTCAGAAGGGCCAACCAATCCTGTTTTTCATAGATATGCTTACTTTTGTTCAAGCAAGCACATGAAAAAAAAGATATCTCTGTGAGGATATGCATGTAACTTTCCATGACAGAGATGTTTCTTCAGATTCCGATACCAGTGTCCTCATGTGACAACATCTTGATGCAGAATATTGAGATGAACAAATGTCTGTGTTTATCTGAAACAGTCTCTCCCAAAATGAGTTCTGTTTTGTATATAAGCTGACAATCTTTTTTGAAACCAGAATATACACCAAAGTCAAGAAATGCAGTCATAAATTATGCCAGGTTAAATTTCCACATTGAAAATATTCTTCCTCATAACTCAAAATCAGTATCCTGTTTTACTGATTCTTCATTTGGATCTCTTTATATATTTGCCACCAAGATGCTCCTTTTCTGATTTATTACAGATTGTGCTTGGTCTAATAATTATTGCACTGACCAAATATTTCATTAGCCATTTTAAAAAACTCCAAATTTTTACTTTGCAGATAGGTAATATATATATCAAGACCTTAGTCCAAAGTGTTTCATTTTGGCATAGAAAAACTGTACATAAATGTTGCATACCAGGAGTTGGTGGGGAATCCCATGAGTGGAATACCCTGGAATGAGACCCATGTTTAAGAAATGTTCTCCCACAGTTCCTTTTTGTTTTATGTACCCCAGTTACATCATTCAAGTTACATCATCCTGGTTATGTCACTCCTTGTCCCCACCCCAGAATTTTGTCATCTCTGTTTTCCACCCCAGTTCTAGAATGTTCCCCACTCCTGGTTTCCCCACTGGTCCCCATTCTGTCACTCTGCCTTTGGACCCTGATTGGCTGTTGTCCTTTAACCATGCCTCTGCACTGCCCTTGTGCCCTCTACCCATTGGCCCTCATGATGCTCTGCCCTTCCCTGTCTGTATAAGACCCTGGACCATCCTTTGTTCTTGGTTCCCTGACTCTGGTCCCATTTTTGGTGAGGATAATAAACTCCCCAGGAATACCAAACAAAGAACCCCTCTCGTCTCTCTTGTTTGACATTCATAAAGATCACGGTGTGCGAGCGTCTGGTGCATGGAGCTATCCCTTTCACCAGAGACACAGCTCTTGGGAAGACGGTGGTTTCGGCAGCTCCTGCCACGCTGCTGAACATAAATATGTCACACTTTTTTCTTTTATGTTAGTATTTGGCTTTAGAAGGAATTCCTGCAACTGAAGCAGTGCTAAAAATGTCCTACAGATTATATTTCACCATGTGCATGTGTTGATTTTATGTGTATGTATCCCTGAGAAACTATATTCCCTGAAATAATGAAAACTTTCAGCCTTTCTGAGCTGTTAATCCTTAAAGCTACATACTGCTGCTTTCTTTTTGTGCTTCAAATTTTCCAAAGTTGTCTAGGAGATTTAGACACATATTGTCTGTTAATTCTAGTGGTAGACATTTATCTAAATCCCCTACACAACTTTTTATTTTTTTAAAAATTACTCAGGCTTCCTTTTATCTGCTCACTTTCCCTCTGTAATAGCACTGGCTAAGCACTCCCTCTGTTAAAAATATTACCTCTTGGCCACACAAGAGGATTAGACAGCTTTGTACCAGAGGAACCAAAAGGGTGAAACAGTTAGGAAAGAAATATGCAAGTGTATCAACTACATTGTATTTTTTTCCAGAAAATACTGTATTTTCAGTAGTGTGTGAGCACATCCTGCAGGCTGTGTGCCTCATATAGTCTATGACTCTTCTGGCATTAAAATAATGCTAATTGGAAAAAGCCCACAACTACTATTGCTATTAATATTAATAGCAACATTGTTTATCTTCATACAGCTTGCTCTTCTCTCTTTCAGTCCATCATAAAGTTATTCTTGAAAGAATTCAAGTAAAAAAATTTCCATTCTTTTTACAATTACCATTTGTTGGAGGAACTAAAATATTAAAATCTCCCTTAGGAATAACCTCTTCTTTTAAGAGTTCTCTATCTTTTATTTCAGTCATTTTATATCTGGACTGCAGCAGTGGAAAGGAGAGGTCAAAAGGTGGAAACATCAATGCTTATGTAATCCCCAAAGAGGATTACTCCCCTCACAAGAATGGCTAGTATGACATGTGAAATTAAAGATATTTATTCTGTGTCTCACATCCCTTTTTGTAGAATTGGTGGATCTTTAGAAAAATAGAGCAATATGAGAACAACTCAGCTTTTCTCATGGTATCAGCACAGATAGTATTAAAGTCCAAAACCAGTTTTTCTAAGCCAGCCAAACCAAAGAGCTCTACAGAGCCTCCCTTCCTCTCCCTGTACACTTCTGCCAACTAAAGGATGACAGGTATACAGATTTATTAGAAATAGGAGAAGGAACACCACTTGGATTTTAGCACTTCTATTAGTCCTGGCAAACATGTAGGCATTGTTTTCTCATTTGGACCAGGGCTACACCCATTCCCAGATGGATAGAACACATTTATTGCATTTCTCTGCCAGGATTACACCATGCAGTCTACAGCATGAGAATAATAAAACCATAATGATTTTCAGGCACAGTACAAGATACTGTATAGGACAAAAAAATCACTGAAGAGGTACTTTGTTAAATCATTTTACATTACACTGAATGCAACAGTCAAAGGCATATTATAAGTCTAGTGGAACACAAGTATAAAAAAACCAAAAAACCATCATTTTCCTTGGCAGAGCTAGTGAGTGTGCCAACCCAACTTCCAATAAAACTTTATGGGAGAACGAAAACAATTTCTAAGTGTCAGTGCTAATATTTCAGATCGAATGCTTAATTAAATTGGTATTTACGTATCTCATATGAATGCCCAGCTGCTTAAAACCCAACAGGATACCTTCTGAGACATAACTTTGGTCAGTGCATTTCCCCACACATGACTGTTTTCACTGTAAATGAGAAAAAATCCTGATAAGAATTAATTTAAAATCAATGCACTATAGTTACACCATAGGATTAGACAGTTAGCAGCTTCACCCGATTCAACCAGTTTACCATCAGGAAAGTTGCCCTAAAAAGTAAACAAAGTTTAATGTTATCTTGAATTTTACTGATTTGTTCTAAATTTTTAAGTATTTTCTAAAATTTTTTACTTGACATAGTGCAAATAATACGTGAAAGAAAAATGGTGCTTTTGAATATAATTGAAAAATAGGATTAGCTGGAGTACAGTGCCTTGATTCCACATTTCCTCACTCACTGGATATAATTAATCATATTTTGAATGTATTTTAATAATGCCTTATTTTAAAAAAAGGTAGATGCTAAGATTACTTGTGCTGGTGTTGCATCATTTATATCTTGCTCTGCTGTGCCCTGGATTCTTCTAAGGGACAGAATGTCAACCAGTTTCTGCAGTGACAAAACAACATGATTTAATCTGATTGCCACTGGTGGCATTTTTGTCTCATTTTTCATGGCTCTATCACCCAGGTTCATGATGAACTGCTTCTCCTCATTCTCCACATTTGGATATTGGTTTTCAGTGGCAATTTTTCATACTTGATTTGACTGATGTGATCTTTGCTGCTGTATGCTGGCATTTGCTATGATATGACTACCTAGGACTTGAAATACTATGTCAAATCTGACTTCAGATAGTTCTATGAGAACAGAAGGTGATTCCACTACCAGAAGCAATTAGATACATTTGTATCAGCAACCTGCTGTCAGCTGTAGGGTGGTTTCACAACTAAAGAGGAAATACATATTGGTTTAATATTCCTACCTTCCAACTCCCAGCAGCCAAGTTCTGCAGTGCCCCTGCTGCCCCCTCCAGCGTGTCTGGATTTGAGCACTCAGAAAGAAGTGTGAGGTAGGGTTTGACTATTGAAGGGTGCCACAGCATCTGGATTCCTTTGGGTGGTTCTGCACAGTCTGGGAGAGGTCCTACGCCATCCCACTGTTGGAAAGCACAAATCAGATTGTCAGCAAAGAATAGTGAAACACATTTGAGAATTGCCTCAGTTGAAACTATAACATCAGTGAAGGCATCCATAAAGAGATGTTCTCAATTTTTGTACATCATGTGATTCTTCATGGAAGAACCAAATTTCCTATTCAATATTCCTTATAGATGAGCTGTAAGATTGGCAGAAATCCCAATGTTTTAGCTAGCTGACATAACAAAAACACTTTTCACTGCATGTATTTTTTCTGTGTGGGAACAAGCCCAATCTTAAGAGGCAAATCTAAAACTTGCATGGGGATAAGAGATTTTCTTTCCCATCCTTCTCAGTTCCCCATGTTCTCTCTCTTCCCATGAGAGGAAAAACAACACAGAATGCTACTATGGAAAATCAAATCATTCAAGCCCATGAACCCTCCATCACATGAAAGGCACAAGTGTGACAAGTCTTCCTCAACCACACAACTTCGTCTTCTCACAATGAGAGTGCAGGAGGTATTCAGCCAGCCAGCTGTGAGGTCTGAGACTCCAATGCAATTGGTAGAACCAGCTCTTACAAAACACATTGTTCCTCTCATCACATACAGAGTTTTTCCATGAGAAACAACGCAAGTCTGATATCCAAAATGTGCAATATTTAAACCTGAACAACAGGTAGGTTATTGCACAAAACCCACTCTTACCAGAAGTAAATACTGTATTCCAGGAGGACAGGGATTCTCCTCTCCAGTGGAGCACACAATACTTGCACCTCACATATGAAACATCTCAAAGGAAAATACACAGACTTTCTTTTTGCCTTTTAAACAAAAGTAAGACGTGGAGTGCACTTTCAACAAAATTTGAAATAGAAATCTACTTACATATTTATTGTATATTTTGTTTCATTTTGTACAGATAAAGAGATTTTAATAATTCATGCCACTAGTGCCACTGTTAGGAACAAGCCTTAACTTTTTTATAAAATATCTTTTCTAACACTCTGACATGTCCACATTGCATAATACAATAAAAAGTAAACCTTTTAGTACCTTGGGTTAGAGATTACTTTGTCTATATAAACAAAAAATCTGTACCATAACATTAAACATTTTCTAAATATACAAATATAGAATAAGTCAAATTAACTCCTTGTTTAAATCTGCAACAGTTAACTAGTTATGAGTGTACAATAATACTTGCACTGGGAAAGACCTAGAACCTCTTGTTCTCAGGAAGTATCAATCATACTTTATTTACACTAACTTTAAAAATAAAATACATACGTTTTAAGGGACAATTAAGTCTTCCCTAATAACAAAGAACCCAATTTCAACAAGATTTTGTGTGATTAATACCTTTAGGAATGAAACCTGCTGTTTTTTTTCTAAATTAAAGCAGAACAAACACCAGAGTGGAAAGCTAGAGGAGCCATTTCATACACAAGCAGTTACCAGAAAGCAGCTCAGATGTGAAACTCACTACGCTGGACAAATGTTACTTGAAAGAACTGGCATAGCAATGCCCAGAGATGGTTGAGAAAGCAGAGGACAAATGCCTTCTGGAGAAACAATGCCTTCAAATGACACTATTATTGAGCTGTGTCTTTGAAATTTTTAATGCATTTCTGCCCTTAAACCAACAGATTGTTTTTAATGCATGTGACTCAGTTCTTCTTTTTCCTCCTTATAAATCACCAGCCTTGCCAGAAATGAGTGCTTTTCAGCTCATAAAAAATACATTAAAGCTTGCTTCTTACTTTAATTCTCTCAGAATTTAATCATTCACACTGTCAAGATTTTTTTTTTGAAAACAAATGAAAGACATATGTTACAGGTCAAATCTGACCTCACACCAGGTTTAGGTTTTGTACCTTAGTAAGTCTACTATTGAATGACTTGTGATATCCAAGGACACCAATTCAAGTCTTCACTTGTCTCATTCCAACTTGCATGAATTATACATTATGCAAGTGAAGAGTGTTTGCACAGGGTATATTATTTCAAGGACAAAACACATGAAATGCATCAAATGTATAAGATCTACGCATATGAGGGGGTATATGCTTATGTGAGAATATAATTTTTTTTTTATGCTTGGCTATTTACACTCTTATGATCCCAAGGACTACTGAAAATCAGCTGATATAAATAGGTCCCTATATACATGTTCACGCTGTGCTGGTACGTATAAAGCACTAGAAATGATCTAGCAGATAAATTAATATTTAATGTTGTTTTGCCATTCTGCCTAGTAATGAGAAAACATAAAGAAAAAGGAGACAAATCATTGCATTTCCCTGCCTTTTTTGCAACTCATTTTCAACATGATTGCATTAATTTATCATCAACTGTGAGGGAAGACCTTTTTCTCCAAGATGCTGTGATGCCTCAGAGTCCATGTAATAATGATGAAAACCTTTGGTACCGCACATGCATGTGCAGTGAAAGCACACGAAATTCAGTGACCCTGGAAAACTTCCTGCACTGCTCTTCAGATGCTGTGTGTGTGCCCAGAGCAGCCGAGTGGCTGCACAGGGAGGGTGTACTTCACAGTAGTTGGTATGGGGCCATGTTTTGGATTTGTGCTGGAAACAGTGTTGATAACCCAGGGATGTTTTAGTCACTGCTGGGTAACACTGACACAGCCTTTTCTGCTCCTCATTCCACCCCATCAGCAAGGAGAATGGGGATGCACAGAGCTGGGAGGGAATACCATCAGGACATCTTACTCCAACTGACCAAGGGGACATTCCATACCACGTGGTGTCATGCTGAGAATATAAAGCTATGGGGAAGAAAAACAAAGGGAGGGCATTCGAAGGGATGGGGTTTGTTTACCCAAATCATTGTTATACATGATGGAGCCCTGCTTTCCTGGGGATGGCTGAGGATGGGAAGTGTTCATGACTGCCCATGGGAATGAATTCCTTCCTTTGCTTTGCTTGCAAGTGGGGCTTTTGCCTTCTCCGTTAAAGTATTTTTACCTCAGCCCACGTGTTTTCTCACTTTCACTCTTCTTCACCACCACCCCATTGAGTGAACAGCTGTGTAGGTTTGGTTGCTGACTGGGGTTAAACCATGACACCCGCTGTGCCTGTGGCAGCCTCGTCACTGTAGGGCTTAGGGGCTTCTGGTGTCTTTTGTCTAGCTGAGACCAGTGCCTGAAGCCCAACTGTTGCAGGGCATGCAGAATTGAGACAGATAAGCAAAGAAGCTATTGGAAAGGAGATTTGCCTGATCTTCATTAATTTATTTTGTATTTCATAAACATCAATTGCCTGAGAAAAAAAAATTCCCCAAGTGGTATTAGAGTCCATATCTAAAATAGTGGTTAAGGCATGGCAGAAGTTGCTTCACAGTTTGCATTGCTAAATATTTATGAGCTGAGGCAGCATCCTCACCCAGTAAACACCTCTACCTAGTAAATTACTGGAAGAGTTACTGTACTATTGCAGCATGTCATAAATATAAATAATATTTATAATATAAATAATATTTATATAAATAGCAATATAAAAAACTGTATTTGTCTTAGTTTAGGGCAAATTAGGAATGAAAACTCCAAATGGGGATTTCCCCAGGGAAATGCCCCTCCTCACTAACTGGTCCGGGAAAAGAAAAAAAATTCTTTAGAGAGAAGTGGAAAAAGCTGTTTATTTAACAGAAATTGAGTAATATTAAATAATAAAACCTTTTGCTGTTCGATGGGATGGCAAGTCTAGGAAGAAAAGTCCTTTTCATGTGGTGTAGCTCGGCTCGCTCAGGTTCTTATCAGTCCCTCCGGCGCTGGAAAGTGCCGAGGCCCAGGCCCCGGTGGGCCACAGGCGTGAGCTCCCGGGGTTTGGCTGGGTGTTCAGTCCAGAGCAGGCTTGCACAGATCCAAGAAAATTGGGAAAAAAACAAACAAAGGTCCAGGGAACTCCTCTGCCTCAGCTAGCTAGAACTAACTAAAAGCCAGAGAGAAGCTCTGTCCCGCTGTCTGTCCGTGCTGCAGACACCACAGTCCAGGAGCGGGATGTGTGGGAGTGATGTTTTTCCTTAACACAAACTGCGCGCTTCTTCTTCCCCCTCTCTTGCTCTCAAAGCCAGTCTTAAAGGTGCAGAACTTAATATATAACATAAACCAGAAGATTGGGGATACCAGTATCATAAAGTCACCCCAGGACACAGCACATCAGGAATGATCAGGAAGGTCTATTTGAAATAGACTGAGGCTACAGTAGGAGCCTCTGGAAAAGAGGACAACATGCAGTTACTCTTTCTAGCTTATACTAAGGAGAAAAAAAAAAAGTCATAAACAAATATTCCTTCCAGGCTTCCCTCCTTCAGCTGAAATTACCCACATATATTGTGCTTGAAGCTGACAAACTGCTTGTTACGTGGGTGAGATACAAATCTCTCATTTCTCGAGACTGGTGTAAAAAAAGGATGAAAGTCAAGAAAAATAAAAAGCCAAATACCAAGGCCTTTTAAGAACAAAAGACTTTTGATAGTAAGAGTACTCTAATAAAATTTCCAAATTTTCATAATTGTGAGGAACTTTGAGAGGAGAAAAAGATCACTCATTGAGATTCTCTCCTGTGATGCACAACAGATTATCTACCACCTTTCTCATTTTAATGAAACTAAATCCGTATTTATAGTGCAATTGTACTAAATACCTGGGAAGGCTTCAACTCAGCAAGAGCAGTGCCCTGCGGATTTTGGGGTTTGTACTAACAACCTCAAATTAGTGGGGCTTGCTTTTAAATATGTATCACATGACAATAGGTTTTCCTGTGATAACAAAACAACAGTATTGTATTTTAATTTATTGCATATAAATACTTCTTTCCCCCAGTCTGTACAAAATACCACTACTAAAAAAATCTAGAAGATTAAAACAAACACTAGCAATGTCTGTAGCCATCTAGACCTCTCTCCAATGATCCTAGACATTTGGGATAGTCTGATAACACTGTAGCTATGCTCCTTGAACCAGCAGTGACAAAATTCATATGAGCAATTACACAG